TACCATATATACTCGACTATAAGTCAACTTCATGTATAAGTCAAGGGCAGGTCCTGGGGCCGATTTGGACACAACCCTTGTATAAGTCGAAGGTAAGAGTTGGGGCCGTGTAACATAGGAAACCTAGGAGAATGGTGCCAGAGAAGTTACAAAATCCCAAAGGGCATCTCGGTTTGTGCTCACCCGAAAATCTGGATGGATGGAAGAGTAGAGGGAGGTCAGAGCTTTCTGGACAGATGACACTCGTGCCTTTCACCAGAGGATAATTTCCTTTTATAAAAAAAAATAAGTGTTAAAAAACACAGCACTTACATTGACCCATGGATAAATGGACTCAGGGTTTGGGGGTCAATTGTTTGGTTAAAATATCTAGACTTATACATGAGTATATACAGTAAATTGTGGATGCTGGGCGATACGATCACAGATTCCCCCCTGTGTCGCAGCCCTCTTCAGCCCCACAGGGTCCGAATAGATGACCCCATGGGGTCCCCTTTCCCAATTCAATGTCCCCAGGTGGGATTACCCCCCCCCTTTTGCCTGGGATGCTTCACCGGGAGGTTCAAGACCCGGTAATCCTACAAACCCATTCCTACAAATCCTACAATCCTCCTCTTCCGCCCCACGGGGTCCGACTACATGATCCTAGGGGACCCCCCTTTATTTATTCTCTTGCCAGGGGTGCTGGACCCAGTGCAACATCTCTGGCTAAAGACCCTGGCAAGCTTCTCCAGTGGAGCTTGTGGCCCTGGAAGGAAGAGCCTCCCCAGGCAGGTGCAGTCTATCTTAGCTGTCCCTTTTGGGGACGTACTAAAACAAATGATAGTAGTTGCTCATAGGGAGACCCTACTTGCCCATAGAGAATCATTGGAGAATGCTTGCCGATAGACTAGAGAACACAGAGGCTGGGTTGCTAAAACATTCAGCACCAATAGAGGAATCCATAAATGATTCTCTATGGACAAGTACTGTCATTTGGCTGGCCTGGATCCTTCCTCTTCCTCCTCCCTCAGGGACCGACTACATGACCCCGAGGGGTCACCCTTCCCTCAGGTCGGACCTTTTTTAAAAAATTTCTCTCTTGCCAGAGTCCCTGGCAAGCTTTCCCAGTGGAGCCTGGTCCTGGAAGGGAGAGCCCCCCTGGGCGGGCGCAGTCTATCCTGGCCTCCAGCCACTTGGCCGGCCTGGCTCTTTATTCCTCCTCGAGCAGGGATAGGCAAACTGCCCCCTTTACGAGCCGAGGGACTTCAGCTCCCAGAATCCCAAACTATTGGCCAACATCCCAGACTATTGGCCAACATGGCTGAGGCTTCTGGGAGCTGAAGTCCCTCGGCCCTTAAAGGGGACAGTTTGCCTATCCCTGTCCTAGATGGACTCTTCTGTCTCCCCGGAGTCTCCCCAGTGTCTCCTTCCTCTTCTGCCCCGCGGGGTCCGACTAGATGACCCCGCGGTGTCCCTTTCCCCCCGGTCAGAGCCTTTCTCCTTCTTCCTCCTCTAGCCAGGGATGCTGGAGCAGGCGGGCATCCCTGGAAAGCGCCCCTGCTGGCGAGATAGTTCCTCCTCTTCCCCAGTGGATCCTGTGGCCCTGGAAGGTAGAGCCTCCTTGGTCGGGAGTAGTCTATCTTGGCCGTCCTGGCTCCTCCCTCCTCCTCCTCCTCCTCCTCCTGGAGGGACTCTTCTGTCTCCCCAGCGTCAGCCCTCCTCCTTCCTCTTCTGCCCCGCGGGGTCCGACTAGATGACCCTGCGGTGTCCCTTTCCCCAGGTCAGAGCCTTTCTCCTTCCTCCTCTTGCCAGGGCGGGCCAAGCCAGCCATCTAAGTCTCCCTGGGGGGCCCCGGTCTATCCATCTCTCTCTCTGTCTCCTCCTCCTCCTCCTCCTCCGCCGCCGGGCGTTTCCTTCCTTCCTCGTCCGCCGGCGAGGGGCCGAGCGGGGCCTGGCTGGCGGCCGTGCTCCTGCTCCTGCTCCTGCTCCTGCTCCCGGTCTTCCTCCCTCGACGGGGCCATGGGGAAGAAGCGCGGCCGGCGGCGAGAGGCCCCTTCCCGGCTGGCGCTGCTGGCGCTGCTGGCCGCCGCTTCGGGCTCGGCGCTGCTCCTGGCCTCGCTCAGCCTCCTCCTGGCCGCCGCCGCCTCCGCCTCCGGGCGCCAGCAAGAGAGGGCCCTCGCCCCCGGAGCCTCGGCCCAGGTGAGCCTGGCCCCAAAAGGGGAAAGGAAGGAAGGAAGGAAGGTCACACCCTCTCAGCCTCGGGACCCTCCGTGGACAGGTCACACGCTCTCAGCCTCGGAGGAGGAGGAGGAGGAGGAGGGCAAGGAGGGCCGCCGCCGCTATGGAGGCAAGCAAAGTTGGGCAGGAAATGAAGTGTTGTGGTTGTTGTTGTTTGGGGAGGGGAGGACTATAACTCCCAGAGTGGTGTCGTGGTTGGAGCCTTGGGACACACACACACACACACACATTGGAGGCTAAGGTCCAAACTCCGTCTCGGCCATGGGAACCTGCTGGGTGAGCCTCTTGGGTGTAAGTCACACTCTCTCAGCCCCAGAGGATGGCAGGGATGGCTATCACACGGTGGACACGGACACACACACACACACACACACACACACACACACACACAAGCTCTGGCTAGCTAGCCATGCGAGTAAGAGCGGAGGAAAGTTCAGAAGAGAATAACAACATGTTGTTTTGGGGGGAGGACTATAATTCCCAGAGAGAGCCAGCGTGGTGTGGTGGTTTGAGAGTCACCAGGGAGTGTGTCTTGTGTGCCTCCAAGTCATTTTGTGACTTATGGCAGCCCTAAGGCGACCCTATGTTAAGGTTTTCTTGGCAAGTTTCTTCAGAGGGGAGTTTGCCATCACTGAGGCTGAGAGAGTGCACCTTGCTCAAGGGTCACCCAGTGGGTTTCCATGGCCAAGCCAGAGTTTGAGCCCTAGTCTCCAGTGTATTGGGAGGGGATTGTCTTTGCCTCCCTCGGAGGCTGAGAGAATGTGACTCTCCCAAGCTCCTCTAGGCTGAGGAGGGATTCGAACCCTGGTCTCCAGAGTTGTATGTAGTCCAGCGCTCAAAGCATTGCATCCTGCTGGCTCTTTGAATTGCACTGTATTAAGAGCCAAATAATCAAGGATTTTTGGGGATGCCAAAGCCTAGAAATACACAAAGCCAAATAATTCCACAGGTCTGGACCCCCAGGGACCAAAAATTATCTTTATAAATAGCCAAATACTGTCATCCCAAACGTTTTGAATGCCAGGGACTAGAAACCCACTTCCTAAATAGCCCCTTAATCCCACAAATCTGGAGCTCAGGACTTAGAAACAGACCTTTATTTATTGTTAAACCAAATAATCTCACAGGTTTCGAACCCCAGGGATTCAAAACGGATTTGATCGATCGATCAATCCATCATAAAAATGAGTTTATCTATATCCTGCCTTTTGTGCAAAGTGGAACTCGAGGCGGTCAAATAGGAAATCCGTAATAATGGCCAAATAATCCTCAGGGACTAGAAATGCACTTTATAAAAACAGTCGCACAAGAAATCCCACATTTTTTGGACCTTAGAGACCAGAAATGAGTATATTATAAATAGCCCAAAATCCAGATGTCGGCTCCAAAGACGCAAGAGGGAGGAACGATTGTTGGTTTGGGGGAAACAAAACAGCCAGCGCACACTCATGCTCCTTGCCTCCCTCGCACGCAGGCTCACAAACACACACTCACACAGTCTGCGCAGGGCAAACAGAGATAAAGTTGTGTGCAACCAGCAGAGTATATTTATAGAGCAAGTTGTAAACAGTGCGGTTTGAGAAGCCATGCGCTGGAAAAGGTGGCGCAGGTTGCCAACTGTCCTCCGGAGCTCAGAGAAAGGTGTGCAAAAGGAAAAGTGTGCAAAGCCACTACTGTCTGCCACCTTTCTGGTCTGGCTACTTTTTGTGGGTGGCTAGTGCTGCGTTGTTTTGTTGTGTAACTTCGACTCACTTCGCGCTTACGCCAATCCTAGGTTTTCGTGGCAAGGTTTGTTCAGAGGTGTGCCATTGCTTGCTCTGGGATTGAGAGAATGTGACTTGCGCAAGGTTGTCCAATGCGTTTCCATGGCTGAGCAGGGATTCGAACTCTGATCTCCAGATTCCTAGTCTAATACTCAAAACCCACTAGGCCACACTGTGGCTATTGGTCAAAACAGAGCTGGTTGTAGCCCCCAAATATATCTACTGTACATGGACAGGCCTGACAGTGGGCATCGAAGGCGTACCTACCCCGGGTGCCATGGCCAAGTGACCTGGGAAAATGCCCACAAAAATGATGAAAATCTTGTATGGCACCGAAAATCTTATGCCCACCTTTTGCCATTGATTGCAGTCCACAAAAGCTTATGCCAGATCAGTGTGGGCACCCTGAAGGTGCCACAACTCTCTCCATGCACTGGGACAAAATTCTTAGTGGATGCACAATAGTATGCACGCACACACGCACACAAATACACAAACACACCGAGCCAAGGAAAATGGGAATGGCGTGCCACGTCCCGATCTCCACACGGGTCAAACCGCGCATAACCACTGGGTACTTATTATGGTCTTTGGTAGTGAGCAGAAGGGTTTCCGCAAAACACTTTAAATAGTTTCAAATGGGCCCCTTTTCCCGCTCCTATGCCTTTAACCACTGCGGGACAGACTGAAGTTCAACAGGCGCAGCTTTGCCTCAGCAGAGCAGCGCAGCAGTGTGGAAAGATGAGATTTCCTGAATGTAAGAAAGTCACAGCGTGAAAGTTGGAGGCGTTCCCTTTTGCTCGTTGCATTAAAAAAGAAAGAAGAATATAAAGGCACAACTCCATTGACAAAGTGACATTGAAGCTCCTTTTCATACCACCCCTTTCCTCCTCATCCTCTGTCTGGTTGGAGGTTTTCTTTAGCAGCATCAGCATTGGGAGGAGGAGGAGGAAGGAGGGAGAAACAGACTCTCAGGGCTGGGTTACATTTGCAGCAAACAGTGCAATGAAAGAGGTTGATTCTCCCCTATCCAGAATTCTGAAATCCGAAATGTTCTAAAAGCCAAAACTTTTTTCATTTATGGCTGAGAGAGTGCCACCTTTGCCTTCTGATGGTTCAGTCTATACAAACTTTGTTTCGTGCACAAAAGTATTAAAAATATTGCGAAATTAGCCTCCAGCCTCCAGCCCAGGAAGTTATAAGGATGTAATTCTTCACTGATGTTGTTCTCGAAGGAGTAATTTTAGGACAGGTTGAGTCTCCCCGAGCCAGAATTCGGAAATTCAAAATAATAATAAAAATTAAAAATTAAAATTTTCCGCATGGCTGTGATCGTGCCACCTGTGCTTTTTTTTTTTTTTTGTTACATAAGCTTTTTATTTGTCATGAAATCACATATGAAATAACGTTCCAAATATTAAAAAAAAATTACTTTTCTAGTGAGATAGATAAGATAAATATTTATTATGGTCCCAGAACAGCATAAAAAGAACAAAATACAGCATACAAAATACTATATGCAATAGCAAAACTCATAAAAGAAGTAAAACGCATATACTTTGCTAGTGGTACAAGTTTTAATATATTTTTAAGGTTTTATTTTTTTAATAATTTTTATTATATATTAAAACACACATAACATATTATACTGTGCTTTCTGATGGATCAATGGAAACAAACTTTGTTTCACGTGCAAAATGTTGTGTATAAAATTATCTTCCGGCTCTGCGTATATAAGGTGTATACGAAACATATATGAACTTCACGTTTAGACTTGGACCCCATCTCCAAGAGATCTCAGGCATATGCAAATATTCCAAAATCCAAAAAAATCCCAAACACTTCTGGTCCCAAGCATTTCAGAGAAGAGAGACCCAGCCTATATTTGCTCCCATGCATGGCTTACTCTAAGGCAGGGGTAGGCAACCTAAGGCCCAGGGGCCGGATGCGGCCCCCCGAGGCCTTTGGACCACCCCAGGCCGGTCCTGCCGCCGACCCCCACCATGATGATATTGATCATTGTTGTTATTACTTGTTCTTGGGGTTTTCTTGGCAAAATCTCCACAGGGGTTTTGCCATGGCTTTTCTGGGGCTGAGAGAGTGTGCATGCATATTTTTTAATTTTTTTTTTAATTTTTAATATTTATTTATTTATTTATTTATTGGTGCTTCGGCCCCCCAGTTGTCTGAGGGACAGCAACCCGACCCCCGGCTCAAAAAGGTTGCCTACCCCTGCTCTAAGGCTTAGGGTCGACATTGGGTTTCCTTCCTTCATGCATCCTTTACCATGCAAACGGATTTAAAAAAATATATATTGCAATGGTTCTAATGTGAGTTTTGCGTTGCTGCCTGAGGAGGGAGGTGAGGTTCCAAAGGTTGCTGAAGGGATGGCTAGATCCATCACACACACATGGCCTGAGGTCAGTGCAGCTGTTGGGTGTGGGAGTCCATTCAGGGTGGGTTGGGATGATCTCAAGAGGCCCCTTGTTTCTCAAGTGGAAGATCAGTAACTTGGCTATGACCACCCAAGTGAGAGAAGGATTTGGATGAGAGCTCAGCCACACAACTTGCCAGGACAACATCCTTTAAGTTAAGAAGCCTTCCTGCTCCCCTGCATTTTTTCCCCTTTATAGCCTACAGATTCCAGAATCCTAGCAACCAGAATGCTGGGAGATGCTGTCCTCAAAAAGCCACTGCTCCAGCTTTGTTTTGCTTGTATTTGCTTGTATTTGAGGGACTATTGTGCTTGTCTCTTTGCTGCGGTTTTCTGTTTGAGTAAGAGTTATGCATTGGTTAAGGGGATTCTGGGAATTGCTGTCTAAAACTGCATATATTTCCCCCCCTCTAGACTCTGCTTTGAAGGGATTACCTGGCCAGAGTTCTCAAAATCCTTGGTGTAGTGGACTGTTGGGGGGCATTCTGGGAATTTTAATGGCAGGGATTCTGGGATTTATAATGCTCCCCAAAAACAGCATTTTATTTTCTCCCAAATTCTGCTCTGCTCTTATTGGCATGGCTTGCTGGCCAGAGTTTGCATGTGTGTCTCCATAGTGTGGTGGACTTTGGGGCGGCAGTGAGAGTACTCACTGGGGATTCTGGGATTTGTAGTAGTAGGGGGGGAAAGCCACATTACTGCAACTTCTCCTCTTCCAGCAATCTCTTATCTCTTACTTGGGTAGATAGTGGACAAGTTTGCACAGGTCTTTTGCCACAGCCTGTTTGCAGGGAGAGTTCACTTGCAAATGGCAGGGGATACTGGGAGTTCTAGTACCTTTATTTGTTTTTTAAACTCTGCTCTGATTTGAGGGAATAACCTGGCCAGAGTTTGGAACAAGGCTTCTCCCAGGGCTATGGGCAAATGCATCCTTTGTTCTGCTCTTGTCTGTAGAGCCCAGATCCCTGACCTTGCTGCAACATGGGGCCTGCAGTTCAAGAGGTGGGGAAGGCGCATGGGGTGCCCCTTTTTTCCCACCCCACGCTCCAGATCCCCTCCACCCAACAGCTGCCCTGGCCTGGATTTTGGAGCCCTGGATGGAGACTGGGCTGTCTCAGCCTCCCAAAAAATCTCAGCACTAAAAGCAACCCTGATGTTGAGCGTTTGCAGCTGTTCCAGGCGGATGAGACCCAGTAGATTCCAAACCTGTTTTGGATATCACTTTCCAGCCCTGGAAAGCTTGACAGGCGCATTTAAAGAACCCAGAAAACAGCTCCAGTGTGAGGTTTTCCCTTTAGCCAATAATGATGTGTGATCGGGAGGGCGAGAGAACCTCTGAGCATGTGCAGAGTGATTTTATTTTGCAGTTGTATCATGCCATTAGAGAGCCAGCGTAGTCTGAGTGTTGGACTAAGACTCTGGAGACCAGTATTTGAATCCCCGCTTGGCCATGGAGGCCCACCTTGGGCAAGTCACACTCTCTCAGCCTCAGAGGATGACTCAGAGGGTCACCAGAAGTCAGAAACAGCTCGAAGGCATGCAACTACAACAAATAATTGCATTCCTCTTGCTTGAGTGGATAGTGGATCAAGGTTTGTACAGCTCTCCTTTTTGGGAGTGAGATTTCTGCAGTGATGCGGGGATTCTGGGTGTTGTAGTCCATTTTCCTCTACTACTCCAATTTGAGGAGGCCACAGCTTGCAGATGAAGACAGGCTTTGGAGAACAGACTGTTTTTAAGAATGCATCTCTTAACAGTCTACCATATTGCTTTTGTTTTAAATTGTTTAATGTTGTTTGTTGTTGTTAACTGCCTTCATGTCGAAATGGATATCTTTTATATTGCTTGCAATTTTGTAGACAGCCTAATTACTTTTTGGCAATATTTTTTCCATGTTTTTGCATATATAAAAGGAGAGTAAGAAAGATAAATGTGGGCGTGCATCTGTTTTATTTTTTTAATTCCACTTCTGGGTGAGATATATATATATATATATATATATATATACTTTTTCAAAGGGCTGGTGTTTTCAAAAGATTTGACAAGTAGAGCAGGCAAAAAATTATATTGGTAGCGATTAATAGATCTTGTTACAGAAAACAATATTAAGAGAATATCAGAAATTCAATAATGTAGGTGAATTTCTAAACTGTCAACAGGAAAAGCAAATTAATACTTTGTATCTCCAAAACAATGTATTGGTATGTTACTCTTTTTAATGACTTTTGTAACCAAAGCATAAAAAAGCGACTTTGTGTTACACAGCTCCTGATACAACTTTAAAGAATTTGAACCAATAATTTCTTTTCTTGATTTTTCTTTATCATGGGGGTGTTGTTGGACTGCAAATCCCAGCAGACACTGGTTAGCTTCACCAAGGGTTGGGAGATGCTGTCCGAACTGTATCTGGACAACTGCAGGATTCCCAGCTCTGTCTGAAGTGGACTTACAGACTGCCAGAAATAGTGTAAATTGAGTCCACTTTTAGGGTTAGGGTTAGTGCTAGGGAATCATGGGAACTGGTTTTTTTCTGAGACATTGAGCTATCTCTGTCAGAGAGCTCTGGTGCCACAATAAAATACAGTTCCCATGATTCCCTAACCCTAACCCTAACCCTAAAAGTGGACTCAATTTGCACTATTTCTGGCAGTCTGCAACCCCTAATGTGGAGTCCAACCATTGTGGGCTCAGGGCTGACCCTCCACTCTGCTCTATATTGATCCAAATTGCAGTTGATGTGCTG